ACAGCGTTTTTTAAAAGATAAAACGATAATGATAGATGATAAGAATAAAGTTTTAGTCGGTAGTAACGAAAAAAAATTTCAGCAAAGTCAAGAAGATAAGTTAATGTAATCAACCGACCAATTGTTGAACACATCAAATCGTCTTACTTTTCTTCTTTTTTTTCACTGAGTCTTCTTCAACAACACTAAGTTCAATACTGTTAAAAATAAAATAAAGAAAAAACTTTGTAAATTTTGAATTGGCTACCTCAGTTTGAATAACTTTTTTTTTCTTATTTCTGTCAAATTTCTTTAAAATTACTAATCGAAAGAAATTTTGTGAAATATAATTTTAAATAAAGATGGTTTTTAACAGTTTGTTTGCTGTTACACCGTTTTTTTTTTACTGTAGTTTACTCCTGTAGAAATTTTAAAATCTTTTTTTTTTTTTTTCATTTGCTATAAGAGCACTAAATCTACAGCTGTCGACAAAACATTGGTAAAGACAAAGAAAAAGTTAGCTCTATGTTAGCCACTGTTGTGGAAAGCGTGGGAAGAGTTGATCAGAAGAATAGAAAGGTATTCTGTGCAAATACAATGGTATTGTTAGTTACCGATGAATGTTCTCTTTCCCTTCACTTCCCTTATTTTCTCAATGGTTTTGTCCTATTCAAAATGTTGTTGTCGTAGATTTATGACGCTTAAAAGGGTAGTAACATATACGTTTAAATACTGTTGTCTGTAGAAAAGTGGTAGACGAAGATGAAAGAAGGAAAGAGAAGGAGAAGGAATAGAGAAAAAAAAAAACCACAGATTTGTGAAACAGAGAAAAAAAAACGAAAATTTTTGAATTTTTTAAATGAATTGGATTTTACTGCTTCTTTAGATCCACTTTTTTTTGGTATTTTGGGTTTTTTCAGCATTTTTTGCATTTATTTATTCATTTATTCGTTCACTAGTTGTTAGCTCAATCAACTATTTTGCATTGTAAATCTTAGTTTTGATACTGAGGAAAGAAAAATCCTCTTTTTTTTCGTAGCTCCAAATTCATAATTCGGTGGTATTTACGTGTAAACAAAAAAAAAAAAAGCGTAGATAAAAGCGGCATAGAAAAAGAATAAAAAAAAAGAAAAAGAAATTAAGCATTTCCCGCAACTAAATAGCCTCGTTTTTTCTCTCCTTTTGTTTATATTAAAAAAAAAAAGATAAGAAAAAAAATTATTCTTTTATTATTTTTTCTTTTGTTCTTTGGTGCTGTAAAATTGCATATAACGCAGTTAAGGCAACGTTAATATAATGAAGAAATAGGTTGAATTTATGCTCAAGCTTTTTTAGTTATTTTGTCGTTAAGGTAAAGGTAAATTCAGGTAACTGTGTTCAACAGCAACTTTTTAGCCAAATTTTAGTGAAAGAAACAAAACGGGTATGCAGCTAAGTGCAGAAAAAAAAAGTATTTTTTGTGGAATTTGCTCGTCAAAATGGAATTGGGAAATAGACGTCGACAACAGCGATGGAATTGCTCGCCCTTCAAATATACAAACATATGGATGATTTGGTATATTATTGTTGTGGATTGGAAAGAAATGGAATGGAACGACGAAATTTTGATATTGTTAGTTAACGATAGTGACATTAAAAAGTAATGGTTGTCTTACTACTTGGTTACAGCTAATAAAAGCTGTTTTAGAATATCTTGGTACCAAAAACAGAATTTCATAAATATGGTTAAAACACTTGTGATATGTCGTTAGTTGATGTCGTTATCATTGATTAAAAAAAAAATTGAAATCTTTGAAATACTCTTTGTCTTCTTTTTTTCGTCTTTTTTTTTTTACTACGATAATTAGTTAGATAGGTGAGGTTAAAACAGAAAAAGCTACAAAAAAATATTTTTTTTTTCTGACATATATTTGGCTTAAGCTAAATAAAAAGAACTAAAAAACTTTAAAAAGTTTCATTTTTGCACGCTGTTTTTCATTTTTTTTTTCAAACTTTATTTCTAATTTCTTTATAACCACATTGTTCAAAGTTCAATTTTGGCACTTTTATCGTGCTTGTTGATCAACCAAACAAACTACAGTTATTTCTTGTTGTTGATGCTGTTGATGAAACTGGTGATAATTGGTACTGATGCTGTGTGACAGATTCTGAACAATGACTAGACGAACCGTAATCAGATAACTAAATACGAGACAGAACTGCGGGTTCTTCTAGCACTCAATCTTGCCTTCTCTCCCGCGACACTCAGTTTCATCTAATTTGTTCCTTTCTAATTTCTACTTCTACATTTTCACCTTGCTTTCTGTACAATTCAGAAAGCGATATGCACAAATGAGAGTATACGAATATAAGTTGCGGGAAAGGTGGAGAAAAATTTGTGTCACTACGTAAACACTCAGAAACATAGAATAATCAGTGATGTGTCAGAAACATGAAGAGGGCAAACCGATGAATTAAACACCAGTAATAGACCAAACTGCGTAGATCCATTTTTTTTTTCGAAACATCTTAAAAATGTTCTATCCGACTTTTTTTTTCTTTATTTCACAGCTTTAATGCAAAAATAGAGCAAAACAAAGAAGAAAAAATGTGTATCAGAATAAAAAAAATTATAACTTATTCATCAGTTTTCGTTATTAAAACAACAACCAGAACCACAACAACAACAAAAAATGCAAAGCAATAATTTTATAACATTATAGGCGTTATCATATTTAGTTTTGATACTTTTTTTTTGCATTTGTTTTGCATACAATAAAACAAATGAAAAAAAAGAAAAGAACCTATAAAAGATAAAAAAGAATTAATTTATGGTATGTAACAAATGCATAAATAACAAAACCTTTTAATGACTACTTTTGACCAGGACAGATTAGGGGAGGAAGGGGGGGGGGGCAAAGAGCGGAAAGAGAGAAACGACGACTATTCGGTATAGTAAAAACATATTTTTTCCCTGTTTTTTATCTTTTGCAGCAATTTGAGTTGGTTATTCATTTTTTACTTCTTCCTCTTCCTTTTTCTTTCTTCTTTCTTCTCTTTTTCTGTTATTTTGGTTCACATTCGTATTTGCATTTGATTGCTTGTTCGTAGATTGAACTGCTGAACCCCCTAATTTTATGCTTTCCTTTACTGGCTTTGCTGCCTTACTACTGCACCTCTTTTTACCTTCATCATCGTCACCATCATCGCCATCATCAACAACATCGTTGTTGTCGTCGTCATTATCATCATTGTACCCTTTCATTTTCTCATATTGAAAAGCCGATCATAATTATTGTTCAACAATTTTTTTCTCTTTACAATTTCTTTTCTTTTTTTACCTGGTTGTAAATAGATGCGGAACAGAACAGAAACTTTAATTTAGTTCTTGCTGAATTACGCAAGAGAAAGGAAACGAGGGAGCAGATGAACTTAAAAAAAGATTGGCAACAAAGTGAAAAGAAGAATGGAAGATATACTGAAAAGAGTAGAAGAAAAAACGCAACTTTTTAATACTCGCCAAAAAGAAGTTATTTTTATTGTGGCGATGGTAATGGTGATGGTGGTGGTGGTGGTGATGCTGATGATTAACGTCAGAAAGATTTTTTTTGCAATAATTTGTTTCTATTTTGTTCTTAGTCTTTTTTTTTGTTTTGCTTATCCTGCTTTAAAAAAAAATCGCAAAAAAAAGCCAGATAGAAGAAGATTAAAAGTGGAGAGGAAAAAAGCGAAATGAAAAGCCTTAACAAAAGCATATAATTCTTCATGAACAAGATTAAAACGGTAAACTATGAGAAAAAAAAAGAGAAGAATTAAATATGAAAGAAAGAAACGATAGAAAATCTAAATTATTTGTTAAATTTTGACCAGTATTTCTTTCTTTTTTGTTTTTTCTTCCTCAAATATTTTGACATTTTTCTTCCTTCACTTGTTTTTACTGTTGTCACTGTTGTTGCTGCTGTTCTGTATTCAATCTTCTACTGTTGTTGATGTTCGCTGTTTGCTGTTGTTGCTGTTCAAAGTGTATACACCGATAGTTCAATATTTGTAGTAATACTGACAACTTCGGAAATAAGACAAATGCACAATTGTCTGATTAGATAGATTGAAAACAAAGACCAAATCTCATGGTTTCTATCAATCACCAACACAATGCTATCAGTATCTACGGTTGTTGTTGTTGTTGGTGTTGGTGTTGTTAAGATGTTAAAAGTGAATTTGAATTTATAAAACGTAGTGATTACAGTTTCCCAATAACAACAGTTTTTGCCAAAATAACAGCAAAACTTTTGCCAGTTGAACATAGAGAGTTTAGTCACAGTCAAAAAAAACTGAACAAAATTTAATTCTTTTAAAAATTATGGTAATTATTATAATAAAAAATTAAATGACCTACCGAATGAGCACTTGCAATATGACAACTGGTATCTTCGTCAAAAATATCAACGCCATTTGTTGTGAACGCTGATGACGACGACGACGGTGAAGAACTGTTCTGTTGTGGTGTGGTTGATGTGGGAGCTGGACAAAGTTCAAAACTTGGTACCAAACGTCCGTAGAAGGTATTTACCAGATAAATATGTGTATTACGTGGGCAATGTAATGACACACGTTCTCCATCACAGGCTTGTATCAAGTTATTTTTTAGGCTTTCCATTATCACTGCTAAAAAATGTAGACAAAATAAAATAAATTCAACAAATAAACATCGTTTTGTTAAATTGTGTTAAAGTTTAGATCAGTTTAGATCAAAGCAGTAAAAATTACAACTAAAGTATCTTAAAACTGTAGCATTCAAATAGTTGAAAAGACAATTGGAAATGTGTGCATAATTTGGCCAACTTCCTCATTTCATTTAATTATTTTCCCTGACTGCAAGTATTTAATGTTTCTGAATAGGTCTAATTTTTCTAGCCTACTCATAAAGTTCTCTAAAAAAAAAAAA